GTTTCTGCAACCTGGAAGTTATTGACTCACAGGGTGAGACTGAAGAAAAAAAATTATGAGGACGAAAGTGAAAACTTTTTTTTTGGACAAATACAAAAGTGAAAACTTGTGTAATAAGAACGACCACTAATCTTGTAACGGTCAAATATTAAAATCACAAAACCCCCGAATAAATACGTAACTAAAACAAATATTTATAGTAGATGATTATAATTCTAACCAAACTCAAAGTTTTACTCAATTACAGAGATTTTCTTTCTCATCTACTAGCAATTGCAGGGCTTTTCATAGAGGTGAATAGGAAGGCGTGGAGATAGCAAAGCCTCCAGCGAATTTGCTTTGGGCAGGGCAAGCCCCAGCCCTTCACGCATGTCCACTGCCTCCTCACCAACCCTGCTCATATCAAAACCCTGAACCAAACGAGCCAGAATTAATTGGACCACTTGCAGCCCCAAAACCATGCCAGGGCACGACCTCCTGCCCGAGCCGAACGGAATATACTCAAAATTATTCTGATCTTTGAATTTCACGTCAGCATGGGTGGTCATGAACCTCTCGGGTTGGAATTCACCTGGGTTGGCCCACATGCGTGGGTCTCGCTGTAGTTTCCAAATGTTGACTAGTACACGAGTGCCCTTGGGCACATGGTAGCCTGCCAAGTGGCAATCCTCCGTGGCTTCACGCAGGCCTGCGAGTGGGCCAGGTGGGTATATGCGTAGGGTTTCTTTGAGAATGGCTTGGAGGTATTTGAGGTTTGGGAGGTCTGATTCTTGAACCCATCTGTCTCTTCCTACGTGGATGTCCAGTTCTTGTTGAGCAGCTTTTAGGGTTTTTGGGTTGTTGAGTAGTAGGGAAAGTGCCCATGTTAGAGTGACAGATGTGCTTTCTGTGCCAGTTAAGATTAGAACCTGCCAAAAGCAATTAAGGAAAACAATTAATATTTGTATAATAATTAAAAGACCCCTTCTTGATAATAATATTATGTGTGGAAGCTATTGGTGAGGCCAATCGGAGGGAGCTGCATGTAAATTTGAGTGGCCTTGGTCGCCTCAAGCTTGCAAATGGCTTCACTATCACGTGACATTCTGATCAGGGGCGGAGCCAAAATTCAATGTCTAGGGGACTATAAGCTGAAATTTTATCATTGTTCCTATTATCTCCTTCTATTTACTATACACATATGCTAAAGGGATGGGGGAAAAAAGAGCGGGCTAGAGCCACTTATGGCCTAGGCCTCCTTCTGTCCTTGATTTAGGTAACACATGAACTGAGTCTAGGATTGAGTTCAAAGATATTAAAATTTGTACACTTTCATTTTATAATTTGAGTAAATTTGTAATTTGATGGCTCGATTCCAAGTAGTGTTTGTTGTTGAATAGCTTTATATTGTTACACTTACCAGTGATGTTGCTTTGATGACATTATCACAGCTATGGCCAAAAATTACATCATCCTCCTCTTGAAAGCTGGACATCATCACATCCATCAAATCACTTTCAACCCTATCGATCTTGCCTTGATGCCTTGATCTCTGGCGATGCTCTTCAAGCCATTTCCCAAGCACACAGTCAAGTTCCTTAAAACACCTTTTCATGGAACCCACATGCCCAAACAAGCTGTCCAGCCACTCAAGCCACGGCATAGCATCTGACCAAACAAAAACTCCAAGCAGATACAAAGCATCCTTTACAGCCTTTTCAAAACGCCAAGCGTCACTGTTTTTCTCATTATATTGCTCAGCTGTGAATCTCTTCCCAGCAATCAGCCTCACGTTTATGTTGAACGTTAAGAACTCAATTAACTCACTCAAATGCACTGGTGTGGGGCCCGAGCCATTCTTCGTGCAAAGTGAGAGCAGATTTTTGACGAACAAGTCAACCTCCGAGGTCCTAACGTGGCTCAGCATTTCGACTCTTTTAGTCGAGAGGAGCTCCAGCGTGGCCAACTTGCGGACATGGCGCCAGTAGGGCCCGTATGGGGCTATTGCAAAAGCGGCATTGTCGTAGCCCAAGTACTTGCCTCCTGCAATGCTTGGTCGTGTGGCGAATACTCTGTCGTTTGTTGTGAGGCATTCTTTGACTGTCTCCCATGCACTGAGGACCAGCACTTGGTGCTGGCCAAGCTTGAGGGAGAAGATTGGTCCATGGTCATCGGCCATGGCTCCCAGGGTTACGGCAACTGGGTCTTTGCCACGTAGCAGAGGGAGGTGACCTATGAAGGGCCATGCTCCAGAGGGTTGGGGGACTAATTTGGTCGTCACGGTCGTGTTTGTGCTGGTGATCTTCTTAGTGTGAGCTATGATTCTCAAGGCAACGTAGAGAAGAAGCAAAGATAAAATTGTTTCAAGAATTTGGATTGGGGAAATTGTAAAATTCATAGTGAGAGAGAGAGAGTGTGTGTGTGTGTTACAAATGGGAATATAATTGCGTGTAGGATCTACTTCATTTTGTATGTGTATTTATAGAGGTTAATTATGTCTTGAGTTGCTTTTCACACAGTAAAAAGATATTTCTCTCTACGGACAAATCACAAGATGATATATAGCAGCTATTTTGATGCATCCATATTGATAAAACATGAAGTCAAGTCTTTTTTTTTGGACGAACATGAAGTCAAGTCAAGGCAGCCATCATCGTTGAAGACAATATTCACAAGAATATGTTCCCTTTTGTAGTCCCCATGCATTGATTGATCAATGTTTTCTATTTTCTATGTCTTTAATTACGGAACTCAGTTTCTTGAGATACACATTGGGTACGTACTGTACTGAGATACACATTGGTTTTCATTCACTGTAGTGTCGGTCGGAGTTTGTACTCTACTTATATGTCGGTAATATTTACTATTTTGATGCATCACTAACAAATAGGGAATCAAAATAATTTAAAGGTTTTTTTGTACTAACAACAGTGCCGTTTTCCTCCTCAGGAAAAGCCTGAGGAGGGTGAAAAACACATCTAACACAGAAAATAACGTTGTACAATCCATTATCGTGATTCTTTTGTCCTAGGATGAAAGATGTTCTACGAAGTTGCCGTTGATTTCGTTGCCAGTTGAAAAATATCAGCCACAAACAGCAATGGAATCTCATTATCTATATAGCTTATTAGTCCATGGGTGGGGACCTTGGTCAATAACGTTTTCCACATATCGCCGGCTTTATTTATGTTCGTTCACATGAATAATAATGTGAAACTTTGTATGCCATTCAAACTTTGCCAACGGGCATTGACTTGTAAATCAATGGTTTTCAAGTTTTTTTTTGTTTTTTTTTTTGACAAAAACGAAAGTGAAAACTTGTGTAATAAGAATGATTATTAATACAATTTGGCCATTAATTAATCTTGTAACAGTCAAATATTAAAATCACAAACCCCGAATAAATACGTAATTAAAAATAAATATTTAAACTAGATGTAACCTCCAAATAAATGTAAAAATATACATATCAAATTAGAACTAATTTTAATTTAAAATCACAAAATACAAAGTTGGGTGCTAACCGAATTCACCAATTGCAAGCAGGGATCGTATGCGTTGAAGATTATAATTCTAACCAAACTCAAAGTTCATACTCAAAATTTTCAATTCACATGCATTGGAAAGTTCGAAATCAAACATCACCATAAACAAACCATGAATTCATCGGAAGTTCAATTTGATGTACAAAATATTGAGCAAATTGTCACCATAGCCAGCCAGCCCTAATGGATTTTCGTTCTCATCTACTAGCAATTGCAGGGTTTTTATTAGTCTTGGTTCTTTATCTATGGAGGGTGATAATCCAAAGCCACAAAATCAAGGGCACTTTGACCCCAGAACCATCGGGTGCCTTGCCATTTATAGGTCACCTCCATAAACTAGGTGGCCAAGTCCCATTTTTCAGAACCCTAGCAGCCTTGGCGGACAAGTATGGTCCAATATTTACCCTAAGGCTTGGCAAGAACCGTGCACTTGTGGTCAGCAACTATGAGGCAGTCAAAGATTGCTTCACCAAAAACGACAGAGTTTTCGCCACAAGACCAAGGTCAACGCAAGGCAAGTACCTTGGCTACAACTATGCTGCATTTGGGTTCTCACCATATGGCCCATATTGGCGTGACATGAGAAAAATGGTCGTGGTTGAATTGCTCTCTAGCCGTAGGCTGGAGACGTTAAAACATGTCCATTCTTCTGAGGTTGATGCCTTTGTTAAAGGGTTGCATGCCCTTTGCAATAGAGAAGGGCATAATGGTCTTTGTCCGACCAACGTGGCGATCAGTGATTAGATAGAGCACCTAACTTTGAATGTGAGATGACTAGAATGATTGCGGGGAAGAGGTATTTTGATATAGTGGTAGAGAGGGAGGAGAGGGAGAGGAACAAAATATTGGGAAAATTTGTTGAGAATTAAGCTACTTACTGAGCTTAATACAAACTGCAGATGACAATCCTGCAGATTGATATTGAAGAGAATGAAGAAATTGAAGAATCTGGGAACTTCTCTTTTTAGTAATAGCTGTTAGTCTTTCTATCTAACGGCTAGTTTTTAATCAGTTTTGAGAAAATGGCTACAGCTGTTTTCTTTGTCTTTTAGTATGTATTGTGGTAACCAATTATGGTCCAGGTGTAAGAATCGTAGCCTCCTATGGTCTGTATGGCTGGAGATGAGTCCTTGCTCCCTAAAAGGAAGGATCTGATTTTTGACAAAAAAGAGGAATATAGTCATGTAATTCCCCTGAGTTTTTTGACAGAAGAAATATACTGAACATTCTCATTCTCTATTCTTATTCTCTCTGAGTTTTCTCTCCTCTGCATACGTTGCTAACAAAAGGGTTTTGTTTGTTCTGATAAATCAATCAAAACCAGAAAGTTTTATACCAAAAATCAACATGGTATCAGAGCTCCTGGTCTGATTTCAGAGAGGGGCGTGAGCTGTGAGAAAGAGGGCTTTCCTGAGAAATTCCCAAAAGGGACAAAGGTTGCTCTTTTAGTGTTTGGTTCACTGAGACTCACTCAAAATGGTGGGTTCAGGTTCTTCAAGTGGAGATTTAAGAACTCCACAGTTTGATGGTGCAAACTATGATTTTTGGTCAGTCAAAATGGAAACTATTCTCATAGCATATGATCTATGGGATGTAGTGGAGGTTGGAGTACTTCCACAACCGATTCTTGAGGAAGAAGAAGGCTCTGGAGATGAAGAGAGTGAAGCTGAGCAAATTCCAGTGGAAGCACCTACCATTTCCAAAGAAGATAAGATCAAAAATGCCAAGGCATTGAGCCTTATTCAAGGAGCACTAACAAATGAGCTCTTTCCTCGCATCAGAAATGAGAAGACTGCAAAAGGAGCTTGGGATGTCTTGAGGAGAGAGTTCAGAGGAGATAAAAAGGTAAGAGCTGTAAAACTTCAAGCTGTTAGAGCAGATTTTGAGTATATGAGAATGACTGATGGTGAAAGCTTAGATAGCTATTTGGCTAGATTTTTTGGAACTGTGAATAATCTGAAATCTCTTGGTGAAGATGTGTCTGAAACAAGAATTGTGCAAAAGCTTTTGATGAGTCTAAGTAGAAAATATAAGTCCATTGTGTCTATTATTGAAGAAACTCGAGACCTTGATGTTCTTAGAGTTGAAGAGGTCATTGCCTCTGTCAAAGTCTATGATAAAAGGGAGGACTTGCATGATGAAAGAGATAAAGTGGCTGGAACTGAGAGAGCTTTCAGTAGCCTCAAGGTTGGAAATAACCAAGTTCATAGCACTCATAAGGGCTCACAGAGTAGACCAAATCAAAAGTGGCAGGGACAAGACAAAAAGGAATCAAATTGGTCTCAAAATAACAATAGCTCAAGCTGGAATAATAATGTTGGAGGAAATTGGAACAATAGTTTCAATTCTCAGAACAAGCAAGGTAGTAGCAGTCAAGGAAGTGTGAAACCACAGTGCCAAGTCTGTCAGAAGTATCATTTTGGTGTGTGCAGGTACAAAGGCAAACCTAGATGTGGAAAATGCAATAGGTTTGGTCATACTGCAAAGGACTGTGAAGGTCATAGTCACAAACAAGTAGCCAACTATGCAAAGGAAGAAGAAGTAACCACAGGAACTATGTTCTATGCTTGTCACTCTGCAAGTTTGCAAGATAAAAGTGTATGGTTTGTGGACAGCGCCTGCAGCAACCACATGACCTCTCAAGAGTCTGTGTTAATAAACATTGATAGGACTGTGACTTGCAAAGTTAAAATGGGCACTGGAGATCTTGTACAAGCAACTGGAAAAGG